ATACAAATAAACACTTTCTTCACAAAACTTATATATAACTCAGAGATAGCAAGAACTGCAGATGCTGTAGTCAGAGTCTAACACAGTGTGGAGCTAGAGGAACACAGTTTGTCAGGCAGCATCAGAGGAGTAGGAAAGTTGATATTTCGGGTCGGGACCCTTCTTCAGAACTGGAAAGGGGACAGGAACTGGGAAATAAATAGAGGGAGGAGGGGTGGGGCTGGGGAAAGGTAGTTGGGATGGTGATGGGTGGATGCAGGTAGTGGGGATTTGTCAGTGGGAAGGCTGGGGTGGATAGGTGGGGGAGAAGGTGGATAGATTGTGTGAGGTCAAGGAGGTGGGGATGAGAGGGAGGTTTGATCATGGGATGAGGCCAGGGATGAGGAGATTTTAAATCTAGTGAATTTTATGTTCAGGCCATCGGGCTGTAGGTTCCGGAGGTGGAATATGAGCTGTTGCTTCTCCAGTTTGTGTCTGGCGTCATTGTAGCACTGGAGGATGCCCAGGATGCACATGTCAACAAGGGAGTGGGAGAGGGAGTTAAAATGATTAGTGACCAGAAGGTGTTGCTGATTCTCACATACAGAGTGCAGATGCTCCACAAAACAGTACCCAAGTCAAGCGCAAACATGTCCATTACCCCCTAACTGCATGCACCTATCAACACCCCATCTACCTTTCCCCAGCCTCACACATCCTCCCTCTCACCTCCTTGACTTGACACAAACTGTCCATCTTCTCTCCCACCTATCCGCCCCACCCTTCCCACTGACCAATCTCACCATCCCCTACCTGCATCCACTTTTCACCATCCCACCTACATTACCCCAGTCCCCTCCCTCCTCCCTCTATTTATTTCCCAGCTACCTACCCCCTTCCCAGTTCTGAAGAAGGGTCCCGACCTGAAACATCGACTTTTCTACTCCTCTGATGCTGCCTGACCTGCTGAGTTCCTCCAGCTCCACACTGTGTTGCATATAACACAGTTTATCCCCAGGAAATGCTTCTTGTTAAGATAATATGTTTTATTGGAGATGTAGGTTTACAACTCCTTTACCTCTTGTCACAATCTCCCCAGTTTAGTCCTGGGAACAGGGATGATTTGAATGAAGCATGCTGGAGTATAAAGAGAAAAAAAAATAAACAAGGTTCCACTGAATTGAATGACAGAACATTTTGAATGTGTAAGCTTTTCTTATTGGGTTGGATTTTCTCATTTTTTAAGCTAAGTGTTATTTTCAGGGAGTTTCATCGCAGGTGCCATGTCAACGCTCGCAACAACACTTCTCACACCATCTTCAACTCAGTATCTCATTAATTATGCAAGCTGCTTTGTTGGTGTCCCACTTGTGCAATAGTGTGGCCATGTTGCTGGGACCACTTTTTTAAAGCTTAATTAAACACCAGTTCAGATATTGCAAATTAGGAAGCATCTCAAATGCTGTCCGTTTAGGAAACTGAAATATGTCAGAAAAGATGCTGACATCTCGCTTTCCCGGTGATTCTGTTGGGTAGGGTGGGTTCGAGAGAAGGGCCATCCCCCATGTGGTCCACCACAACAGGAAGCCATGGCACCAAATGCAGTTGTCCTGAACGTGGATAGCAACGTGTGTCAATGCTGTCACTAGGGCAGGCAGAATGCATGGTTCAAATGAAGCTCATCCCACTGGGACATCTCTGTTCTATCTCAATGCCAGTTCCCTCAAATTGAAAGCCTTTCCACCCACACTAATCTCTTAGCCATATATTTAATTCCTTGACTTTGTTTACTCTATGCTAATTTGCCTGTGGCTCAACAGGTAATCAAGACATTATTACTTTAGAAATTCTGCATTTTAATGTAAATCCTATCTGTTCAAATTTATCAGCAGAATTTCCTTTGCCAGCCCTATCAATATCATTGGTACCAATGTTGATGACGATAACTGGTTCCCTCCTCTCCATCTCCAACTTCTTCTCCAACACAAAGAAGATGTCCATAACCCTTGCACTAGACAGGCAGCACAGCCTGTGGCACTCCTGCTCATAGCTGTACAGAATAGTAACTATCCACCAATTATGCTGTCTCCTTACCACAACAACATTCCCATATCCTCCACCACTTGAATGGCTCCTTGCTCCAAGGTGCTATAGTCAGTTTGCTCATTCTCCCCTTAGTGCCTGCTCTCATCCGCACAGCTTACAAGAACAGCATAACTCTTGGCAAATTGCTAGAGCTGAGACTCTTCAATTGCAATCCAATGTTGCCATATCTGTCTCACCCAGAGTCATATCCACCTCTCATATTGGTGGATAGCAGCTTCCACATGTTACAGCAGAAATATATCACCCGTCCTGCCATTACTAGAATACTTGATTTAATTTATAAATTAATGGCTCTACGTTGTGTGCAATTGGCAATTTATTGTTATAATACTTAATTTTTATTTCAAAAAATCCATGACCCCAGAACATTAGGATTCTGTATTACAATCTCCTCTCTTACTCCCCATAACATGTACAAGATAAGGTTTGGGGGGGGGAAACTGGCATCTGTCCTGAGAACTAATTACTGCAGATACTGGAATCTGTACTGAAAACAACAAATGCTGGAGATCACAGTGGGTCAGATAGCATCCACGGAGAGAGAGCAAGCTAACGTTTTGAGTTTAGATGACTCCTCATCAGAGCTGAAATGAAGTGTGGAGGGGACCACATTTATGCTATAGTTTGGGGTGGGGGGGATTCTGTGTGGGGATGGTGGGTGTAGGTGCTGATGAAGGAGAGATTAAGTGATTGGAATGTGGGAATGGCAGAACAATGACAGCATTGACACACGTTGTTATCCAAGTTCAGGACAACTGCAGTTGGTGCCATGGCTTCCTCTTGTGGTTGACCAGATGGAGGATGGCCCTTCTCTCGACAGTAACTGGGATGGGGAGGGCGGAGAATATGACAACAAGCTAAAACAAAAGGAAGAAATGGTTCACTATTTAAAGGTGTTGAACTCAATATTAAGTCTAGAAGGCTATAACGTGCTTAGTCTGAAGATGAGATGTTGTTCCTCCAGACTGCACTGTGATTCACTGGAACACTGCAGCATGCCGAGGACAGACATGTGAGCATGTGAGCAGGACGCTATGTTAAAATGACCAGCTGCAGGAAAGCAGTCACCCAAGCTGCGTTTTGTTTCTTCAATGTAGAGTAGGCCGCACTGGGTGCAGTACAAAAGATTGGTGGAGATACAGGTGAAATGCTGCTTCACCTGCAAAGACTGTTCAGGCCCTTGGATGGTGAGGAGGGAGGAGATGAGGGCGCAGGTGTTGCACCTTCTGTGGTTACATGAGAAGGTGCTGTGGAGTGGGGTTGTGGTGTTGGTGATTGTGGAATGGACTAGGGTGTCCCAGAGGGAACAATCCCTGCAAAATGCAGACAGCGGAGTGAGGGGAAGATGTGTTCGGTGGTGGCGTTCTGCTGGAGTTGTCTGAAATGACGGAGAATGATCCTTTGAATGCTGAGGTTGGTGGGACGAAAAGTGAGGACAAGGGAAACTGAACACACTGTTGTGAATTATGAGAAGGGGCAAGGGTGAAAGCATGAGTGATAGGTCGGATGCGGTTGAGGGCCCTGTCAACCACAGTGAGTGGGAAACCATTGTCATGGGAGAAGCAAGCTCTGTCAGCAGTACTGTTTTAGAAGGTGGTATCATCCGAACAGATGCGATGTCGGCGAAGGAAGTGGGAGAATGACTTGGAGTCCTTGCAGGACATCGGATGTGATGAGCTGTAGTGAAGGCAGCTATGGGAGTCAGTGGCTTTATAGTAGATGGCAGTGGACACTTTATACCCAAAAATGGAGACAGAGAGGTCAGGGAAAGGAAGGGAAGTGTTAGAAATGGATGATGTGCAAGTTATTGAGGGGTGGAAGTTGGAAGTAAAATGAATGAAGTTTTCAAGATCTTGGCAGGACCATGAAGCGGCACCGAAGCAGTCGTCAATGTACCGAGAAAAAAAGAGTTATGGGAGGCTCCAGTGGAAAATTGGAACAAGGCTCATTCCATATGCCCCATAAAGGGGCAGGCATTACTGGGACTCGTGTGGGTGCCCATAGCCACTCTTTTCACATAGCAGAAATGAGATGAATTGAAAGAGAAATTGTTCAGTAAGACAGCAAGTTCAGCTAGGCAGAGGAGAGTGGTGGTGGATGGGAATTGTTCAGGCCTCTGGTTGAGGAAAAATTTGTGAGCTCTCAGACCATCCTGGTGGGGAATGGAGGTGGAGAGGGATTGGACATCCATGTTGAACATGAACAGCAATTAGAGCCAGGGAATTGGAAATTGTCAATATGGTGGAGGGCATCAGAGGAATCATGGATGTAGTCTGGATAAGCAGAGGGAGAATGGAGTCAAGGTATGAGGAAATGAGGTCAGTAGGGTAGGAACAGGCTGATACAATGGGCCTACTGAGGCAGTCTGGTTTGTGGATTTTGGGAAGGAGGCAGAAGCAGGCTGTCTGGGGTTGGGAGACTACGAGGTTGGAGGCGGGGCAGGAAAATCTCCATAGGTCAGTGACAGTCCTGTCACCAATGGTGTGATGTTTGGATGTGGGGTCATGTGGTAGGAAGAAATGTCTGAGAGCTGGCACTGAGCCTGGACAAGGTGGAGATCAGTTTACCACACTACAATTTGCTCTGACCAAGAGTCAGCTAGGTTCGAAACATTAGCTTGTTCTCTCTCCATGGATGCTGCCTGTGATCTCCAGCATTTGTTGTTTTCTGAGGCAACTTATTCTTGCTGGGGTTGAGATATTTTCCCCAAACCACTTGTTGAATTGTTATTATAGGGTTATTGTATTGTTATTATATTGTATGTGGCTCACAGACAGGGACATTACCACTACACCACTTGAGCCTCAGCTCTAACCGTATCCATTAGGGGCAGCTTGGAGCTCCCTCGGTTAAGGCTGATCTCTTAGCAACGAGTGGCGGGGCCTGGTGTGCTTACGTCATAGGGGTGCGCCAGATTTGAATGTCGGGCGACAGTTAGTGCCGAGTCGCCTCTTGCGGGTTGCGCGCACCATCTGGATTGTTCCCGAGAAGTTTCTCGAATGAGCGGCGGGCGGCAGCGTACACTGTTTCAGAGCTGGGGCAACACAGCGCCCCGACCTCGGTTCCAGTCTCAGTCCCAGGGTGGGAGGAGCGCTGAGATCGGGCCTGCGGTAACTCCGGCGCCGGAGGATGGCTTCCAGGACGGGGAGGATGACGATGTGCTGCTGGTGGCGGTGTTTGAGGCTGAGCGATCCTTAGGCAGCCCTAAGCCGGGTTCGGAGAGCCTGCCGCCCGCCTCCTTTCCTGGCTTCGACCTGTCCTCTGGCGATGTGTGGATTTACCCGAGTAACTACCCCCTCCGGCCCTACCAGTTCGACATGGCCCGGGCGGCCCTTTTCCAGAACACCCTGGTGTGTCTGCCCACTGGCCTGGGCAAGACCTTCATCGCGGCCGTGGTCATGTACAACTTTTACCGCTGGTATCCCTCAGGGAAGATTGTGTTCATGGCCCCGACCAAACCCCTGGTCGCCCAGCAAATCGAAGCTTGTTACAAGGTCATGGGTATCCCGCAGGACCACATGACAGAGATGACAGGTAACCAAACAGCTGATGTGGCAGGTGGTGTCTAAACTCTCACCAACCTGCATTGGATTATCACAGGAGCAAAAATAGTCCGGGTCAACAAATTAGTATCAAGGTTTGATAGAAGTACAGAATTTGAACCCCAGTGACCATGGCTTAGGAACATGTTGCCTAATACATTTGCAAGTACAGGTATAAATCGTTTTATAATAGTGGGGAAACTCTGAACCCCTTCTTATTTCAAATTACTGGTCATCTTCAATTATCCTTTTTTCACTATCTTGAAAGTGTTGTTGCCTTCCAAGTACCATCTTTCTCACACCTTCCTGTTTGAATGTCTACAGATTTCTAGCCCTGAAATAGTACTGAAAAAAACTTAAATAAACTCATAGAAGTATAGGAGAGATTGGATTAGTTGGGATTATGTTGACCAGAGTTTAGAAGAAGGGGGCTGTGGAATCTCAGTGATATTTAAATTCTAACAGAACTATACAGGGTAAACATAGGAAAGATGTCCCCCATGACCAGTGACACAGAATTTCCTAGGTAGACAGTTGTACTTTTTAGTGATTGCTGCTGACATTCCTGATTATTAGCTAGTCTAGAACTGGGGTCACAGTCTAAGGATATGAGGTAGACCACTTAAGACTGAGATGAGAAATTTCAGAATGAGGAGCCTGTGGAATTCTCTGCCACGGAAAGCAGTTGAGTCCAAAACATTGAATGCTTTTTAAGAAGGAGATAGACATAGTTCTTGGGGCTAAAGTGATCAAAGGGCATGGGGTTAAAGCAGAAACAGTGTACTAAGTTAGATCATAGATCATAGAATCCCTACAGTGTGGAAACAGGCCATTTGGGTGATTAGCCATGATCATGTTGAATGGTGGAGCAGGCTCGTGGAGCCAAATAGCTTACTCTTTTTCCTATTTTCTATGTCTGTCTGGGTTTGGTTAAGAAACAATGTCATCTGTGACTGACAACATAGTACATTTTCCTTCTTTTACTTTGCAGTTGTTGGTGTGGTTAAAAATTGCAGAAATTCACCAAAGATCCTCAGACAGCCCCTTCCAAACCCATGACCACTTCCATTTAGAAGGACGAGGGCAGCAGACATGTGGGAACACCACCACCTCCAAGTTCCCCTCCAAGTCACTCTCCATCCTGACTTGGAAATATAACCCCGTTCCTTCACTGTCGCTGGGTCAAAATCCTGGAATTCCCTCCCTAATAGCATTGTGCCAACACACAGCAGGAGGACTGTAGCGGTTCAAGAAGGCAGCTCGCCACCACCTTCTCAAGGGTGGCTAGGGTTGGGCAAGAAATGCTGGCCAGCCAGTGACACCCACATGCCACAAATGAATAGGAAAAGAAATACTATCTCAACCAATGCCTGTCTCTGGTCAATAGAATTACCCAGTTTAGTTACATTCTTTCTTGTTTGACTATTACTAGAGCTGTTGTAGTTTCCAAAATAGAAACATGAAGTGGAGATGAAAATCAATCATAACGCTCAGCTTTGCCCTCGAGTTTCATTTGCAAATGTCTTTAGATCAACTTGCTTATTAGGATTAGGATTAGATTTATAGCTTGGGTTGTGGATGTTATATTTTGGTCACAAGAACCAGTTAGATGCTGGGTGTTCTGTGGCGTATGATTTAGTTCTTTAATTTCGCAATGTTTCCATCCTCTGCAACAAAATAAAAGCAAAGTACTGCAAATGCTGGCGATCTGAAATAAAAATACAAAGTGCTGGAGAAACGCTAATGGATGTGACAGCATCTGTGGAAAGAGGAACAGAATAAATGTTTGAAGACCAGTATGACTCTGGAACATGTACACCAGCATATATAATGTATAACCTTGTAGAGTGATGGAAAACTCCCCACTTGCCTGAGTGAATGCAACCCAAAAGACGTAATTTTGGGACCAAGCAGGGCAAAGCTGCCAGGTTGATTGGCATCCATGCACCACCTATAAACATTCATGGCCTCTGCCTGTAGTACATTGGTTTAAGTGTACACTTTCCACAAGATGCACTGAAGTAACTTGCTAGGACTGCTTCAATAACATTTTTCCAAATCCGCACCCTATACTAACTATTGCAGAATAGTATGAACATGGAAACATCACTACCTGCAATTTCCTCTCTGTCACCCACCCCACAACAAGCATATCCTCAAAGTGGGCTATGAAGTTAGTTAGCTCATTTAGTCCCTTGTTTATCAGGTGTTCCCAATTTTTAAAAATAATTCTGTAGCAAAGCTTTAGTCTTAAACAAGATAAAGGACAATTTATTATGTAATTATTGCTGAAAACAACTAATTTTTAAAAAAGTGGTTATTATCTAAACTACAAATTCAAATATTGGAAAGTAGATCTGGACTAAAAAGTACTCCCAGATGAAAGTGAGGTCTTTATTGTTGTTACTGGCTTGCTAGTTGCTTTAAGACTTTTTTTTTCAAAGAGAAGATGTTGAAAGCTTGTATTTAGAATTCAGCAGTCATGATGGCACTTGGAGGTTTCTCCAACAGATGGACTGAACAGAACAGGGTTTTGGGAGGGAGCGAAAGGTCTTTTTATTTTGCTTTCATGTAACTGCATGTTATGGCCCTGGTAGCCTTGTTCGATACTGCACTTTAGCTGGGTTACCTTTCTTTGTTTCCCTGTTGAGAATTTTTGTCCCTGTATGAAGATTTGAGATGGTATCGCACAGCGCTGTTCTTGGTGTTCTGCTTGAAATGATGTCTCAAAGCCTGATGGAAAATTTTATCACAGCTATTGTTTAACTTTGACAAATTGTTATACTATAAAGCAGAGTCAGTTACATTGAAATTTATTTCCAATCTCTTTTTAATATCAGAATTTTGAGCTGTGACCTATTTAAAGAATTCATTGTGTTGTCCAAATATTAATCAAATTCTAAATGTCTTCCTTTCTGCTTATGCTGAGATAATATCAGTCTCTCTCTGCCAGTTTGTTTATAGAGAATTGAAAAAGACAATCGCGAAATTTTCTGGAGCCAGTTTGCAGGATTCACTGTCCGCTTTTATAGGCAGAATAATCATTTTTACAAAATTATATATCATAACTTGTTATAATCCCAATTGATGGTACTCCTGGTCAAATCGGATCGCCGAATAAAATCTGGCCTCATGGATCATGTTTTTTTGAAAAGTTAATGTGGTGGCTATTACAGAAAAATAACCACGTAAGGCAGTGGAGTTTCTTTAACAATAGAAGAGAAGTTTATTGCATAACAGATGGGAACAGAAAATAAACCAAACTATCTAAATGTAAAACACAGTTAGAAAAATCTTAAAACAACCAGAAAAACAAAGATGCAACCTATTCCCCAAAGCTATTGCTTTACATGGATTCAAATCCAGAGAAATTACGTCTCTATTTCAAATACTTGAGTTTGTTTTAATTCATTCTCCTCATTTTCTTCCCTGTGAACTGTGGAGTCCCACATAATTAGACTTAAAACTTCCAATAATCTGCAGATTTCTAGCCACATACTCCTTGCCTGGAATCTGCACATACTAAACTTTTCTATTGAGGTAACTTATTTCCTTAACTGCCCTGAAAAAAATCTAGAAAAAAAGACTGTCCTTTAACCAGTCAGGTTTAAAAAAAAATCAATCTCAGCGTTTCCAAAATCCTTTGATCTTTGATTATCTTGGATTTGGTTCTGGGTAAAGGCCTACAATTTTTACACTGCCTGTTGTGAACCACCCAGTATATAAATTATCCATTGCTTAGGATTTTGTGGGGTTGGGGTTGGGGTTGGGGGGCAGCTAATAACCCTCGGCTCCATTTTCCTGCCTTTTGTCCATAATCCTTGATTCGTTCAAAGATTAAAAATATGTTTATCTCGGCCTTGAATATACTTAATAACCCAGCTTCAACAGCTCTCTGGTAAAGAGGTCCACAGATTCACTACCTCTGAGTGCAAAAATTCTTCCTGTTTTGTCTTAAGTGGGTGATGATTTCTTCTGAGATTATGCACTCTGGTCCTAGATTCTCGCCCAAGAAGAAACACCCTCTACTCCTTTATAACACAGTGTGGAGCTGCAGTAACACAGCAGGCCAGGCAGGATGCTGCCTGGCCTGCTGTGTTACTGCAGCTCCACACTGTGTTATCTCTGACTTCAGCATCAGTTCTTACTATCTCTACTTATTTATCCTGTTTGTGTGTTTCTTGCATGTTTCAATAACGTTGCCTCCCATTCTTCTTAATTCCAATGACAACAAACTACTTCCCATAGGACAGTCCTTCCATACCTAATATCACCGTAGTGAACCTTCTCTGAACTGTCTCCAATTCCATTGTATCTATCCTTAGATAAGGGATCTAAAACTGTTCACAGTATTTCTGCTATGGTGTGACTCGTGCCTTGTGTGGTCTTAGCAAACCTCCCTACTTATATACTCCACTTACCTTCCCTATGAACCATTGATCTTGGCTGCTAGCTTTTAGTGATTCATGTATGTGGACTCCCAAATCCCTCTGTTCTGTAGCTTTCTCCATTCAAATAATATTCAGCTCCCCTGTTCTTTTTGCCAAAATGTGTAACCTCACATTTTCCCACATTATATTCCATCTGCCAAGATTTTGCCCATTCAGTTAATCTGTCTACATCCACTTCAAACTCTGTCACCCTGAACACTTTCCTTCCAACATAACTTTGTGTAATCTGCAAATTTGGCTAAAGTAGACATTCACTTTCCTCATCCAAGTCATTAATATATATTATAAATGATCGTGGCCCCAGCGCTGATCCCCGTGGCACACTTCTAGTTACAGTTCGCCATCCTGAAAATGGCATCCATACCCCAACTCTGTCTCCTCTCAGCATATTAGTGGATAGGGGATTAGTGGATTAGAGATTTTTGGTGGAGATAGCCAATCCTCTATCCAGCACCGAGGGCTGTTTTCTTATTAAGTAGTCTAATGTGTGGTACCTCATTAAATGTCTTCTGCAAATCAAAATTTCATCTGTTGCTTCCTGAATGACTCAAGTTTATCAGGCATGCCTGCCCATTCATGATGCAATGCTGATTCTACTTGATTGTATTATATATTTATAAATGCTCTGCTATTAAGTCCTTTATAATAGACTTTCACGTTTTCCCAATAACTACTGTTAAGCTAACTTGCCAAAATTACTTTTTTTTTTTTGCCTTCTTTCCCTTTCTTTCGGAGTTTTCCACTCTTCTGGAACTTTTCTAGAATCTAAGGATTCCTGGCAGATTGTTACCAGTGCATTCACAAAACCATAGCTACTTTAATATCGTAGGATACATCCCATCAGGTCCAGAGTACTTGTTGGTCTTCAGCCCGATAACTATCTACAGTAAAGTGCTAGCGGAAAGTAATTGTATTTATTTCATCTCCTCCTTTTGCCTCTTGCATTTTAATTCTTCTGGAATTCTTTTAGTGTCTTCTACTGTGAAGACTAATGCAATTTATTCAACTGCTCTGCCATTTCCTGGTTCCCCATTACTATTACCTCATTTTCTAAGGGGTCTATGTTCATTTTGGTTTCTCTCTTTTTTAAAGAAATTCTTACTGTCTGTCTTTGTATTTCTTACAAGTTTACTCTCACTCCCTCTTTATTATTTCTTTGATACCTTTTTACGGTATTTGAAACTTCGCAATCATCTGGTCTGCACTAATCTTTGCCAAAATGTATAGTTTTTTTTTCTTTCAATTTGATGTTATCCTTAACTTCCATGGTTGGTAACACCTTACTCGAATCCTTTCCTGCTGGGATGTATTTTTGCTGTGAGCCTTGAATTGTTTAGTGTCTGCCATTGTTCCTCAACATGTCTTAACTACTTTGAGTCCATTCCAGCCAGCCTTACCTTCATTCCTTTTTAATTGCTGTTATTTAAGCTTATCTCAGTTTTTTTCTGACCCAAGTTCATCTCTCAAGCTGAATCGTAAATAGCTTGGTCCCTGTTGGATCCACAACATATTGTTCTAGGAAACTGTCTGCAGTAGACACTATGAATTCTTTCTGATGGCTATCTCTGCCAATCTGACTATCCCAATCTATATGAAGATTTAACGCACCCATGATTAATGTACTGCCTTTGTTACATTCCTTCATTATCTCCTGATTTATTCTCTCTACCACCATATAGCTACTATTAGGGGGCCTATAGACTCTTTAGGTGCTTGCAGTTTGATAAATATTTTACATAAATAATTATTTGTATTACTTTTACTTGGTACTGATGTAATATTATAGAGACTTTTATAGTAACTGTTTTTTGCTTGTATCCAGAGCATTATTTCCTTCATGTACACTTTCAACCATAATAACAGTTCAAACATTTCAAAATTCATGGTCAAAATCAGTGGATTGCATGTTCTTAAACTGGACTCAAAGTTATTATTTCCGGCTTTACTTAGTTGCAAGACAGAATGCCAAGGCAATCTCCTGAAAATGCCATTGCTAATTATGAGGCATCCAGGTCTCTCCTGCTTAACTTTTATATTAGAAAATACATGAACTAAAACTGACATCAAACTGAACATTCAGTAACTTTTTGCAGGTAAGACACAGGCGTCGAATCGGCAGAATATTTGGAATGCCAAACGAGTTGTCTTCCTTACACCTCAAGTTATGATGAATGATCTTTCTCGTGAAGCTTGTCCAGCTGCTGATGTGAAGTGTTTGGTTGTTGATGAAGCTCACAAGGCACTAGGAAATCATGCTTACTGCCAGGTACAATAAATGTTGTGCATGTAGCTTTATTTTGTGTGAGCGATGTCTTATGTTTTTTTTCATTATTTTCTCTTTCTTTCTCGCAGGTTGTTCGAGAGCTGTGTAATTATACACATCAGTTCCGTGTTCTTGCTTTGACTGCAACGCCAGGTAGTGACGTAAAGGTTCGTTACTCGTGCAATCTATCCAAAATGTGAAAGTTGAATGATTTTGAAGTTAATCTGTTTTACTGAAATTCAGGTAATTGCAGTTCACAAAGGAATTAAACAAGGAAGAATGTCAAAGCTATAAGCGTTTGAGGCCTGGAGGGTGCCCATATATTCACTTCAGATATCTGCAGTTCATTTACTGTAAATATTGAAACAATAAGTGGTGTTGGGGCTTCTATCCATTACACAGAATACCTTATTCTTCTTATATGTTTGCTTACCCACAAGCATACAAACATAGAAATATGTTCATATTCATCTCCTTTATTACACTTAAAAATTACCATTGGGTTTAAGTTTGTTGCATTGTCTGTAAATAGGAACATAGGAGCACGTGTAAGTCATTCAACCCCTTGAACTTGCTCCAGCGTTTTAGATCATGGTTGATCACCATATCTATGCTGTTTTTCAGTGCTGTCCTCGTATTTCTTAATGCCACCAGTAATTAGAAATCTTTCAATGTCTGCCTTGAATCTACTTGAATGACTGAACTTCCAAAGCTGTACGGCAAAGAGAGTTTCAAAGACTCTGGTCCTCGGAGATAAAAATTTCCCTCCTTCTTCATAAACTGTGTCCTCTGTTTCATCTTGTAGGACACTAGAACAATACTTTCAACATCCGATTTATAAAGTCTCCTGAGGACCTTTCAAGTTTCAATAAAATCATCTCTCATTCTTCTAAAGTCTGGGTACAGTCCAGCCTGTCCAATTTTTCTCATAAGTATCAATTAAGTGAATCTTCTTTGAATTGCTTTTAATATTTTATATCCTTCTTTAAATAAGGAGATTAAAATCGTACATAGCACTGCAGATGTGATCTCCCTAGAACCATGTACGATAGCAAAACATCCCCACTTTTATAACACAGTGTGGAACTGAAGGAACATAGTAGGCCAGGCAGCATCAGAGGAGTAGGAAAGTTGACGTTTCGGGTCGGGCCTGCTGTGTTCCTCCAGCTCCACACTGTGTTATCTCTGACTCCACATCTGCAGTTCCTACTATCCCCACTTTCATTTTCTCTTCCTGTTGCAAAAAACACCAAAATTCCATTTATGTTCCTTAGCAATCTTTTGTGATTCATGTACCGGGACACCCAAATTTCTCAGTAGCTCTGTTCTGCAGTCTCTCCCCATTTAAACATTATGCTGCTTTTCTATAATTCCTGTGAAAGTGGAGAAATTTACATTTTCTGACTGAATTAGCCAAATTTGTGCTCACTCATTTAAGCTATGTATTTTCCCTTTGCAGAATTGTAATGTTCTCTTTAAAACTTGGTCCACAACCTATTTTTGAATCATAGAGTTATACACCACGGAGTTATTCAGCCTCTTCCTATAGATCAAACCCTCCACGCTCGGCAACATCCTCGTAAACCCTTTCTGCACCTTCTCAAGTTTAACATGTTTCCTTTGGAAGGGTGAATCATCAGCAATTTTATCAACTATTTGGTTCCTTCATCAAAATCATATTTACGCTTATTCTCTCTTTCCTGTTAGTTGAGCAATCCTCTTTTTAAGCTAATATGTTATTCCCTACACCATAAGATCTTAATTTATGTAATAACCTTTGAGGCATCTTGTTGAATGCCTTTGGAGTACAGTCCATCCACTGACATTACTCTCTAATCGTGTTTGTTGCTTCCTCAAAGAGCTCAAAGTGAAGCACAAATTTTTTTCCACAAAACAATGTTGATTCTGCTTGATTACATTAATCTCCTTAATTTTAGGTTCCAGCATTTTCGCTATGACTACTGTTCAGATAACTGACCTTTAATTTCCTGTTTTCTATCTCTTTCCTTTCTGAATAGAGGAGTCACATATTTGCTATTTTCCAATCTGTATTCCCTCTACCTTCATCCTCCTCTGCTCCAATGTAGTAAAATTTTAGCCTATACAATCATTCCTTATCAAATATTCCAATCTAGACAATATGTTTGTGTAATTCGTAAACCTGTTCAAGAACTCGGGAAGGAAAGGTTGGAGTTGTCTCATAATTTAAAAGGATAGGGAGGTGAAAGATGTTGTTTTGTTTTTGAGGGCCAGTGGTCAATGTGCTTTTGAAATGGATTATGTACCTTTTGGAGAAGATGAGGTAGCAGAGATATGTGGTCTGTATTTTCTTTGGAATTAAGATGGTGCAGAGGTGGAGCGCGCATGTAGGAAATGAGCCCTGAGTGAATTAACCAGATCGATGAGGTTCAGGCTAATTTGGTCAGAGAATCTGGGTCGACTGGCTTATAGGAACATAGGTGCAGTACTGGGCCATTCAGCTTCTCGAGCCTCTTCTACCATTCAATGACATCATGGCTGATCTTGGCTTAATTCTACATATCTGCCTTTGGCCCATAATCCCTTAATATCTTTGCTTAACTTTATCTCACTTAAAAGTTTTGTTAACAACTGATGCTGCACCACTGCTATTTGTGGAAAAGAGTTCGAAACATCTACCGTGCTCTATGTGTAGAAGTGCTTCTGTCTGGCCCCAATTTTCAAACTATGCCCCCAAATTCTAGAATCCTCAACCAGCGTTAATTGTTTATCTTTATCTATCCTGTCTTTTCCTGTTAATATTTTGAAGACTTCAATCAGATCATCCTTCATATTTCTTAAATTCTAGAGAAAATAGCCCTAATTTGTGTAATCTTTCCTCATAACTTAACACCTTAAATCCAGGAATCATTCTTGTAAACCTACATTGTAGTCCCTCCAAGGGCAGCATAACCTTCCTAAGATTGGTGTCCAGATCTGCTCTCAGTACTCCAAGTGAAGTTTAACTAGGGTTTTGTATAGGTGCAGCATAACTTATGCATTCTTGTACTCCAGTTGTCTAGGTACAAAGGCTAGCATTCCATTAGTTTTCTTGATTAAAATATCACAAACAAACGAAGAAAATAAAGATTTATGCACTTGAACCCTCACGTCTCCTGGAATATCCATTGTATACAACTTCATACCACCTAGAAAGTACCCTGATCTATTCTTTTACAGTCCAAAATCGATAACCTTACACTTGTTATGTTGAACTACATCTGCCATCATTTTGCCCATTCACTTAGTCTATCAATGTCCTTTTGTAGTTTTATGCTGTCAACCAAGCTGCCTAATTTTGTGTCATCAGCAAATTTGAAATTATGACTTTGGTTATTGATTACTTGGATAATGGCACAATGTGAATATTGAGGCCTTAAGATTCTTGTGGGACACCACTGGTCACATCCTTGATTGGCATAGGGGAGAAATGGTTAAATGGTAGATGAATGAAGATGCCTGTGAATTCTTTTCACTTGTTGGTATCACTTACCAACAAGAGGTTGGCAATGGAAAAATGTTGGGATTAGCTTTGGTCCCCAGGATTATTACAGAGTAGTGGATGGAGAAAGAAATCCATTGAAACATGATGCATAGCAGCTGGATTCGGTGGTTCATGGCTATACCACTGTGTGATGGGCAGTCGGTTTGTGTTCCTTTGTCGTTGGAGCCAAGATGAGTCTCTGCTTTGTTAATTCAGACAGCTGCTGGTGATGGTGTTGAATTGATTAGGACGTCAAAGATGGAGTGATGTTGAGTGGCTCAGCACATTGAAAACTGCAGAGATATCATGGCAACTTAAGGCACTTGGGAGTACAAAAAGAGTAGCTGGAAGCATCTTTAAAGAAATTTGTTGTTCTCGAACTTTTCTCTCGCTCGCTGTTGCTCTCACACACACACGCACATGCAATTTCTCGCACGCTCTCGCTCTCACACACACATGCAATTTCTCGTGCTCACGCTCTCTCTCTCTAATTCAATAACAAAAAAAGTCGAATTGAGAATCTAATGGTGACCATGAAATCATTGATTGTCCGAAAAAACCCATCTGGTTCACTAATGTCCAGTAGTAAAGGAATCTGCAATCCTTAGCTGTTCTGGCTTACGTGTGACTCCAGACCCACAGCAACGTGGTTGACTTTTAACACTTGAGGATGGTCAATAAATGGCGGTCTAGCCAGCAATGCCCACATCCTGTGAAGCAATTTTTAAACAAAAACTCTTTTGCTTTTCTACTCTGTCTCGCTTTTTTAAATTTTGTTTTTCTCTCCCTCTTTCCCCCTCTCTAGCTCTCTTCTTCTCTCTTGTAGGGTTGAACAGATTTGGACAGCATTTGGGAGATGAAGCATGCAAGCACTTATAATTTGCTCATACTGATTTACGTAACTATTACATTTTTACAACAGGCTGTACAACAAGTCCTTTCAAACCTGATGATTTCGCATCTTGAGGTTAGGTCTGAAAATTCCCTGGACCTCCAGCCTTACTCTCACCACAGACAAGTGGAGAAGTTTGTTGTTCCTCTGGGTAATGAGCTGATTGCTATCCAGTCTTTATACCTACAGGTACGTGTTATTTCTGTCTGGAAAATGCAGTGAAATTATTTGACTTTAGTGGAATTTTAACTAAATAGTAAAATGTCTGACTTTTCAGAGTTTACAATCCATCTTCCATCCTCGAGCTACTTCTTAATTTTCTTGCAAAAAAGTTGCTTTGGTTTGAAATAAAATCTTAAATCCAGAAGTAGCACCAGATATATTTAAAAATGAGGTGTCAATTTGGTGCAACTACCATACAGGACTACTTGCTTATGCTGTTTGGCACGCAGCAAGTGATAGACAGCTAAACAATCCTACAACAACCAAATCAGATCTAAGCTCTGCAATCTTTCCAAATCCAGTTGTGAATGGTGGTGGATAATTAAACAACTCACTGGAGGAGGAGGCTTCACAAATATCCACATCCTCAATGATGGAAGAACCCAACATATCAGTGCAAAAGGTAAGGCTGGAGCATTCACAGCAATCTTCAGCCAGACATGTCAAGTGTGTGATCCTTCTCTGCCTTCTCCACAGGTCCCCAACATCACTTAGACTTCAGCAAATTCAGTTAGCTCCACGTGATATCAAGAAATGGTTGGAGGCACTGGATAGTGCAAAGGTTATGGGCCCTGACAACGTTCTGGCAATACTACTGAAAATTTATGGTCCAGAACTTGTTGCTCCCCTCGCCAAGCTCTTCCAGCACGGTTAGAACACTGGTATCTGTCTGACAATGTGGAAAATTTTCCAGATATGTCCTATACACACAAATCAGGACAAATCCAACACTGCCAATTACTGCCCCATTAGTCTACTCTCGTACATCAGTAAATTGATGGAAGGTGTCATCAACAGTGCTGTCAAGCAGCACCTGCTCAGCGTAACCTGTTCAGTGACCATGACCACTTCTATCTCGAAGACAAAGGCAGCAGAACACCACAGCCTGCAAGTTCCCATCCATGCCATTCGCCATCCAACATGGAAATGTATTGCTCACTAACACTGGGTCAAAATCCTGGAATACCATCCCTAAGGGCATTGTGGGGCAGCTCACCACCTTCTCAAGGGCAATTAAAAATGGGCAACAACTGCTGGCCAGCCAGTGATGCCCACTCCACAAATAAGTTTATTTAACATGCTTAAGATTAAAGTTCCCTCTTAAGCTTTGTGCCCTGAGTGTTTCTATGCAGTCCAAACACAAGTCGATCCTTTGAGCTGCTTTGCATGTCTGACTGTTCAAACAAAAATGCTCTCTCAAATCAGCGTGGCACTGCAAAAACAGAATGGCAGGCTATGTTTCTATAGTTCTTTGCTGTCTTTTCAATTAAGTCTTTTCTCAACCTTATTGTAATAATGCTTCTATAGTAAGCTAGCTTTACTTAAAAATGGTTAATGGATATTATGGAGACAATTTTGCTTCTGATAAAAGTATAGCAAAAACTTGTATGAAGAATGAAAATATTTATGTTTAAAGCTGTGTTGCTAGTTTGCGTTAATCATGGTTCTGATTTTTAAAACAACGATTTGGAGCTCAATCAAATGAGCTAAATTTAAGTGTGATTTTGTTTTTTGAACATTGTGGTGCATACAAAGTTACACTATAACTTTGTTGAATCAGAGATAGTAGGAACTGCAGATAAGAACCAAAAAAGAATCCCCCTCGTCCTCGCGTACCAACCCACCAACCTCCGGATCCAACGCATCATCCTCCGACACTTCCGCCATCTGCAATCCGACCCCACCACCAAAGACATCTTTCCCTCCCCACCTTTATCTGGTTTCCGGAGGGACAACTCTCTCCGTGACTCCCTTGTCCGCTCCACACTCCCCTCCAGCTCCACCACACCCGGCACTTTTCCCTGCAACCGCAGGAAGTGCTACACCTGCCCCCATACCTCCTCCCTCACCCCCATCCCAGGCCCCAAGAAGACTTTCCACATCAAGCAGATGTTCACCTGCACATCTGCCAATGTGGTATACTGCATCCGCTGTACCCGGTGTGGCTTCCTCTACATCGGGGAAACCAAGCGGAGACTCGGGGACCGCTTTGCAGAACACCTACGCTCGGTTCGCAACAAACAACTGCACCTCCCAGTCGCGAACCATTTCAACTCCCCCTCCCATTCCTCAGACGACATGTCCATCCTGGGCCTCCTGCAGTGCCACAACGATGCCACCCGAAGGTTGCAGGAACAGCAACTCATATTCCGCTTGGGAACCCTGCAGCCCAATGGTATCAATGTGGATTTCACAAGTTTCAAAATCTCCCCTCCCCCCACCGCATCCCAAAACCAGTCCAACTCGTCCCTGCCTCCCTAACCTGTTCTTCCTCCCACCTATCCCCTCCTCCCACCTCAAGCCGCACCTCCATCTCCTACCGACCAACCTCATCCCGCCCCCTTGACCTGTCCGTCCTCCCTGGACTGACCTATCCCCTTCCTAACTCCCTACCTACACTCACCTTTCCTGGCCCCATCCCCGCCTCTTCGACCTGTTTGTTTCCTCTCCACCTATCCTCTCCTCTATCCCTCTTCTATCCGCCTCCCACTCTCTCCCTATTTATTTCAAAACCCCCTTCCCCTCCCCCTTTTCTGATGAAGGGTCTAGGCCCGAAACGTCAGCCTCTCTGCTCCTATGATGCTGCTTGGCCTGCTGTGTTCATCCAGCCCTGCACCTTGTTGTCTCGGATTCTCCAGCATCTGCAGTTCCTACTATCTCCTATACTTGATGCACTGACCGATGAAGGCAAGCGTGTCAAATGCCTTCTTTACCACACTGTATACCTGCTGCCCTGACTTCAACCAGGAATGGCTATGTTCATTCTTGGTGACCAGGACTAGAAGCACTGCTTATCATGTGATCTAACTAGCGTGCTATAGAGTTTCATATCTCCGATGGCTTATATTCTACAATGTTGACTATGTAGTTTGATATTCTTTTGTTTCTGTTAATTGTTGTTCTGCGCTATTGATATGTACTAAACACTGAATCTACTAAAACTTTTGACTATGTTATCTTCACTGTAGCTATTATGACAACATTTCTGGAGAATGAATGATCTCAATATTTTTCTTTTTATCTGACAAAAGGTGATGGATTTGAATTCCACCATGGCAGATGGTGGAATGTGAATTCAATAAAAATCTGCAATTAAGAGTCTAATGATGACCGTGAAACTGTTGTTAATTGTCAGAAAAACCCATCTGGTTCACTAATGTCCTTTAGGGAAGGAAACTGCTGTCCTAATATTGCCTGACGTAGTTATTTGCGTGGAAATTCAGCTATGAAGGCTGATAGATTCTCTCTCCTTGCTTTAACTTGCTTTGCAACAATACCTGGATAATCTCCAAGCCGGGGTGGACAAGTGGAATGTAGCATTCAATGCACAGGAGGGCCAGGCACTGGCCACATACAAGACCCACAGCATAGGGCTGACTGTTAACTGAACTTTGAAATGCTGTAGCAAGCCATTCATTTGTATTAAAATTGCTAAAATGTCTCAAAAAAGGAATCAAACCAGACTGACCACCTGACATCAATCTAGGCACCAGAAATGATAATGACAAAAACAGTCCTGTTGACCATGCAAAGTCCTCCTTACTAACATTTGGGGGCTTGTGTCAAAATTGGGAGAATTTGAAAACAAACTGGTCAAGTAACAACCTGACATGGTCACACTCCCCGAATCATATCTACAGGCAATGCTCCAGACACCATCGTCAACATCACTCAATACGTCCTGTCCCACTGGCAGGACAGACCCAGTAGGAGTGGTGGCACAGTGATGTACGTTTGGGAGGGAACTGCCCTGGAAGTCTTCAACATAGGTTTCAGACGCCATGAGGTCTTATGGCACCAGGTCAAACATAAAATAGGAAAACCCCTGCTGATTATCACGTACTGCCTCCTTCTCCTCCAGCTGATGAATCAGTGCTCCTCCATTTTGAACACAACTTAGGCAATATCTATCTTCCATCTTGCAAATGTGCCAAGCCTGCGAAGTCATCTCTCTATGACAAGTTCCAACATACTTTGAGAAGACTGCAATGTTTGTGATTTTGCCTTTCCATAAATTTCCCAAAAAACAATATTCAATCATGAAGGAACAGCAATATAGTTCCAGGTCAGGATGGAGAGTGTTTACTGGGGACATTGCAGATGATGGTGTTCACATGCATCTGCAGCTTATGTCATTCCAGAAATTGCTGATTTATAAAGGGCTGTTGAAGGATCCTGGGTGATTAAATGTAGTGCAACCCGCGAATGGTCCATGCTGCTGTCATTGTGCGTCAGTGAAAGAGTTAATGTTGAAGATGTTGGATGGGGTGCCAGTCAGTTGCTGCTTTTTGATGGGTGGCATCAAGTTTCTTGAGTGTTGTTGGAGCTGCTCTCATTCAGGCAAATGAGGAATATTCCATCACACTCCTGAGTTGACCCTTACAGATGTTGGACAGGAACTGGGGAGTCAGGTAGTGAGTCACTTGCTGCACAATTCCTTGCCTCTGACCTCCTCTTGTATGTGGCCAGTGCCTGGCCCTCCTGTGCATTGAATGCTACATTCCACTTGTCCACCCCAGCTTGGAGATTATCCAGGTATTGTTGCAAAGCAAGTTAAAGGCAAGGAGAGAGAATCTATCAGCCTTCATAGCTGAATTTCCACGCAAATAACTAATGGAGCATCATCAGTGTAAAGGAGTTCTCTGATTAAAACATTTTGCATTTCTGTCATTGCTTTCAGTCTTGACAGATTGTAGTCCCTTTCATCTGATATGGTACAAAATAAACACTTTCTCTTTCTGCAGAGAAGGCAAATGTCAGGACCCCGGTCAAGATCATTGAGATAATTTCAGTCTACTCGCTCTTTAACTGCATGGTTTGGTTTATATTTAGAAGTTGCATCCTTGCTTTACCGTATTTTTGAATGTTCAAGGCTTGGCAATGTTGTTCCTAAGATCTTGCACTTCTACTGTCACCTGTTCCCTCCTTCCAAAGATTAAAATCCCGCCTCCTTGACCTGTCCGTCCTCCCTGGACTGACCTATCTCCTCCCTAACTCCCCACCTACACTCACCTTTACTGGCTCCATCCCCGCCTCTTTGACCTGTCTGTCTCCTCTCCACCTATCTTCTCCTCTATTCATCTTCTATCCGCCTCCCCCTCTCTTCCTATTTATTTCAGAACCCCCTTCCCCTCCCCCCATTTCTGAAGAAGGGTCTAGGCCCAAAACGTCAGCCTTCCTGCTCCTCTGATGCTGCTTGGCCTGTTGTGGTCATCCAGCTCTACGCCTTGTTATCTCAGATTCTCCAGCATCTGCAGTTCCTACTATCATCAAAATAGGCTTTCTGTTTTCACTCTAGCAACTTCCATATTTAATGGATCATCATTTACATCACTTCCAAAATGATGTCCCAAACAATAACAACTAATGGTCCCTTCCCAAAGTTGTTTTCTTTTATATATTCACTTATGGGATGTGGGCATTGCTGGCTGGGCCAGCATTTATTACCTGTCCCTAGTTACCCCTTGCGAAGGTGAAGGTAAGCTGCCTCTTAAACCCCTGCAGTCCATGTGCTGTAGGTTGACCCACAATACCCTGATGGAGGATTTTCCAGGATTTTGATCCAGCAACAGTAAAGAAACAATGATATATTTCCAAGTCAAGATGATGAGTAGCTTGGAAGGTAACTTGCAAGTTGTGGTATTCACGTGTATCTACTGCTCTTGCTCATTTAGATGGAAGTGGTCATGGGTTTAGAAGATGCTGCCTAAGGATCTTTAGTGAAATTCTGCAGAGCAAATTGTAGATAGTGCACATTGCTGCTACTGAGAACATTGGTGGTGGAAGGAGTGAATGCTTGTGGATGTAGTGCCAATCAAGTGGGCTGTTTTGTCCTGGCTAATGTCAAGCTTCTTGAGTGTTGCTGGAGGTGCACTCATCAAGATGAGTGGGGACTGTTTCATCACACTCTTGACTTGAGTCTTGTAGTATGTGGACAGGCTCTGGGGAGTCAGGAGGTGCATCAGGAGCCTCTGATTTGTGAATCAACTGGTGACTGGGAAGTCAGAAACACATTTGTGGTCTAAATGAAGATACTCCTCTAAATGGATCCTAATCCACATTTTTCTCACCAGAGTAGAGGATATCTTGTTATGAGCATCGAATACAGTACATTAAATTGAAACAATGCAAGTAAACAAAAACAGAAGTTGCTGGAAAAGCTCAGCAGGTCTGGAAGCATCTATGAAAGAAAATGGGAATTAACATTTCGGATCCAGGGTTCTGAGGAAGGGTCAAGTAAATATTTCAAGTACAAGTAAATCCCTGTTTTCAACTGGAAGAAAGTGTTTGGGCCTTGAATAATCAGACGGGAGGAGGTAAAAGAACAGATGTTACATCTCCTATAGCTACTAAGATGCTGTGTGAAAGGGAGAGATCGAGGCTAAACCAGAGTATTATGGAGGAAGTAGTCCATTCGACCACTCAAAAGCCAGACAATGATCATCTCCACTGAGAGACGATCTAACTACTGCCCCTTGACATCCAATAGTGTTGCCATCACTGAATCCCTCAGTATTAACATCTTAGGTATACCACGCACCAGAAACATGACTGGACTCAGCACATAAATACTGTGGCTATAAGAACAGGTCAGAGACTCAAGGTTCATATGATTAACTAGGTTCATTTGATTAACTCCAATGGAGTCTGTGTTTCTAACTCCAGATGGTTAGCAAAAATGGCCACTGACTGCACTGATGGCACTGGTGATATCACACTACCATGAAAGAGCAAGTTTACTCTCAATGGGGACACTTGTTCTGTCACATTGTAATGATGTTCCAAAAAATTAATGTCAATGAGTCAACATGCAGGAGTTTCACTCTGCCCTGCAGTGTGATTTTATAGCAGTCACGTCTTTGTTCCCTGCAGATATTGTTCTGTTACTTAGCAGTGATGTAGCAATGCACCTTTGTGTTTCTTTATGTTGACAATAAATGCAGCCAATATCCATGGCGTCAAGGCGAATGAGAGGTGAAACAAATGTTAGGAGGACTGGATGCGGTGGATATCAAGAGGATATTCCTTATTCTGGGATATTAGAACTCACAGACATAATTTAAGAATAAGAGATTTCTATTTTACGGTCAAAATGAGGAATTTTTCTTCTCCAAGGGTTATTAGATTGTGGAATTCCGTTTCCAGTAATTTTAGTTTTAAAATATTTGATTAAAACGGAGTTTGATAGACGTAGCAGTCAAGGTTTATGGGGTGTAGACAGGAAAGTGGAGTTGAGACAACATCCCGACCAGCCATGATGTTATTGAGTGGTGGTGCAGGCTTCAAGGGCCAAAGAGGCCACTCTGCTGTTCCTATGTTTTGATCTGAAATGTTAAACAATCTCTAACGAGAGATACTGTTAGATGGGCTTAGAAATTCCAGTATTCTCTGTTTTTATTTCATATTTTCAGTACCAGCAAGTATGTTGCTCTGTATCAATTTCTTAGATGTCTGTGCTGCTCCGATGCCTTTGTGGAACATCTCTTTCTTAAGCAGAAATTGGAAAGCGTAACTACTTCGAACCTGTATATATCTATTTTTAAGAAAAGGTAAAGAATCAACAATGCTGTTTGTTGTCTGTTTTGTCTTTGGTTGGTTGTGGCTGGGACTATGTTGGAAACTGATCGCCCACGATGCATTGCGGTGTGATTTCCAAGATGGCGGTCGTGAATAAGGTCTATCGGCGGCCGCTGGGTGGCGGTGCAGGTTCCCGGGGAGTCTTGGGACGGTCATGGCCGCCGAGCCAGCGAGGCAGTGGACTGAGGAGCAGCTGAGGAGTGAGGATGTGGCGAAGAAAGAAATTATCCAGTTCCTGCAGCAGAGCGCCTCGGAGCCGGTGAGAGCGGGGTTGTGGGCAGGTTTTCTCCCCGTCGCCCCAGGCTTGGGTAGTGCTTGTGCTGGGAGCAGCTCGGCTTCGAGCCTAGGGAATCCAGTCCTGCAGCTCAGGGAGTCTGGCATGCGGCAACTTGGCCTTCGCGCCTGTGCGTTTGCAAAACTGCAAAGCAGCAAAAAATCAATGTTGATCACTTTTATATCAGTCACCCACTTCATATCTGCGGATCTAAAACCACAAATATTTCATGTGGTGTGCTATAAAGTTGCTGAATATTTCACTTCGTAAATACAAATCTTATTTTAAATGCACAGACCTGACATCACTGCAAATTTAAAAAAAATCGAATACCAAGTAGGTTGCACGTTTAAATGTGAAGAAGGCATATATATGAGAAAGTTCATGTTTGTGTATCAGAAGTCGAACTATTAAAAATTGCATTTCTGTGACATTGGTACTCAACGTGTTGTGTTTTCGAATTAGTTTCTTGGTGAACATAAGTTAATGGGAAACGTCAAGAATGTTGCCAAGACTGCAAAGAAGGAGCAGCTAATAGCTGCCTACAACCAACTTTTTGAAACTAAGGTGAGTAATTATGCTTATCATTGGATGTAATTCTAGATTTTTTGAAAATGGCTATTATATACTTAGTGTTCACATTGCTATAATTTCAACCATTTTTATTACTGGAATATACTAGATTAATACTTCAAAATTTGTATTTGATGTATAACTACGAATTTATGGTTTGCAAGTCAGGATAGTGCTATGTTTTTGTTTCTGTAGCATCTTTTTGTGATATGGCTTGTATGATCACCACAGTCATTCTTCCCACTAAGGGTTGAATGAAATAGATTTCAAGCAGATCAAGCAACTGAAGACTGAACAACCATGAGACTATGGGCAGATGCAGACTTGTATCCAAACACAATCTGTAACTTCGTGGCCATATGCCTGCAACCCCACATCCTAAACCACCATTACCATCAAGCTGGGAGATGAAACCTGGTTTACTAGGTTAATATTTACTTTTAGGTTTGCCTGGTGTTCCTCTTGGCATACCCTTCTGATCTCTTCATTGAACACAAACAGAATCCATCTCCTTTTTCGGTCAAATACCTCCCCTGTAATCTTATGCTTCTTTAAAAATATATGGACCAGTTCTTTGAGTTTATTCTGGTAACAAAAATGGTTTGGATTGGGAATTACTCTACTGTCCCACATCTACGCCCTTGAGAAAGTCAATATTACCCGCTGTATGGAGACCAAAAATATATAGAGTATTGTACTTGAAGCCTCAACAAGGTTTTGTTTCAAGACAAAAAAGGTATGTTTTGCCTCAGTGAATTATCTTGGGAATACACCCTAGTATGTTATTACCTATTATTTTATGACAATTGGTGATTAACCTTTAGAAATCGATCCATCAGAATTCCTTAATCGCTTTCCCTACCTAGTTGATGCTTTTCCCTATCTAGGATGTGTTTATGCAGCTTTTTTTCGAGAAATGCATAAAGCTGTATTTCTCCAAGTTAAACTTCATTTGTAGAGTCATAGGCCCAATCTCCCAGCACTTTTAAACTCCCTTTTGTGGAAGGCTTCATTTGATTTCTTCACTCTCCCTTATCTTTGCACAGTCTGAAAGTTTACACATCAATCCAACAACATCTGCACCTAGACTATTAATGAAAATAGTTACAAATTTTGCAGTTAGCAGTTACAGTGAGAACTATGTAAAAAAGACTATGGAACTGTTTTTATCATCTCAAGTCCTCATCTTTTTTTTACCACCAATCAAGTACTTTTGAAATGTAAGTGCTGCTATAATAGAAAAATGAGACAGTCAATTTATGCACAGCAGCATTCCATATAAACAGTAAGATAAATGAACATGGAACTTGTATATTTGTTGATTGAGGGATAAGACATCCAAGGATGCCTTTCTCTCCTTTGTTGAATAGGATTGGGGATCTTTTACATTAACAGAATATCTGGGGCTGTGATTTGATGTTTTATTCCAAAAGCCTTAGCAATTGTAATAGAAACTTTACACACTGCAGGATCTGACAAATAGTAATGAAATGAATGATAGTTTAATGCATTGCTTAAATATTTCAAAAATTTCCCATAATATATTGTCTGGTTCTTCAGTGCTGTTAGTATTATCAGTCCTCTATATGAGGTCAGATTATCCATTAATCCATGGTAGATTGAGTATTTACATCAATTTGTACTATATTTACACAAATAAAATTACAGGTTTAGTTTTGGTGGTTATTGTGCCTTTTCTTTGTTTTATAAACGATGGTTCATTAACCTGCAGAGGTTTAAAGGTACTGAATGTGTGGATAAAGTGACTCAGCAGCTTAAAGATGTGAAGCTCGGGACTGCTCAGGACAAAGCAAAGGCCAAGAAACCTGAAGTGACTGCAAGTGAGGTTAGTAAACTAAACTGAGGAATCCTTGCCTTTTAGAGAGTTGGCATTCTTGAATAAAAATATCTAAAGTATATACTTTTGAATATGATACAATATTCAATGGTCCAAATTTTGGAGCAGGATGATTTTAGATTTATTGGTTTCAAATATTTTTGTCCACAAAGTTGATATAGGTACAAGTTGATCATAGTACGCAAAAGAGTATGGTGAACAGTAAGAAATCTACTTAACTTTAAAGAATTGAAAATTAGATGAGGAGTAAATACAACAGTAAATTTGAGTAGGTGAATTCATTGTCAAATCAGGTATAGAAACATAAAAGAGAAGGAAAGAAAGGTTTAAGAGAAAAATAGAGACAATAGAAGATTGTGTTTTTAACATAATGTTTACAAAATCTCCAATAACTTACAACCTAAGGAAGTGAAACTCCATATTTTTTTAGATGTTCACCTGGGCTTGTGAACTTGACTGGCATATGATTATGGCACTATTAAGTGCACACTAGGATTTTTAATTTCTGAGCTGAAATTCCATGAAAATCACAGGTTAAAGGCAAGATGCTATTCTCTCGAGGCTATTGATAGAACTGGACAAATCAGCCAGCAATTGTGATAATTCACAATTCAGAGTATTTTTTCCACATCTCAAGTTGCTGACTGAATTGAACGTTAATAGAACACTTTTTTCAGAAAATTCTGTGCCACAAACTCTAGGCGTTAGATAATAGTTTATTTTGTATCACTTTTGCCTGTTTGAAATATTATGATTTGAAAGTTAATTAAATGAATAAAATTCTGTTCTCACTACAATTTCAACATCTTTATGATCATTTCTAGGAACCACCAAAATATACCAAATCCATTTTGCAGAAAGGAGACAAAACCAACTTTCCCAAGAAGGGTGACACTGTCCACTGTTGGTACACAGGATCATTAGAAGATGGGACTATTTTTGACACAAATATTGCTTCTAGTAAGAATCTAATACAATAGAAGTGTTTTATAATTAGACTAAATAATTTGGACTCTGAGCAAGTGTGAGGTATGATGTTGCCTATACTTCCAAGCTTATCTACATCACTACATTTAAAATATAATCTTGTGCATTTCTCTTTGTAATTCAGTGAACTTGTCACATTGTTTAATTATGAATGCAGATAAACCAGACTGAAAACCCCCAACTTCACTCTTAGATCATACTGTAGAGTCTTTTAAACAGATTTTGTGTAGTGAAGAGGTTACGAGATGTTGTTATGAATTTGTTGTAAACAGGAAACCTCTTATAATAGTTTCAAGTGCAATGCTATTTTCTCTCCTTTTATTTTTACAAAACACAATGCTTTCAACTCGTTCCTCAACCTTTAAGGAAGTGACAAGTCTTTTACATTTTTTCTTAAAGAGCTGTCAAAACAAGAAAATGTATGCAGTGACTGACATTGCATTCTTATTTTTCAGGAGATACATTAATGTAAACTACTGTTTTAAACATTTTAAATAATTTATGCATTCTCAAAGTGACAAATTTTAGACTTGTCTCTATGACTTTAGTTTTCTGAATACATTGGAGACTTGAGAGCGGGGCATTTGATTTCCTTTATCATTTTTATTGCTGCACTAAGTATTTAGTCTTTCCCTGATGGCATAGATTACATTAAGAATTCATGGCACCTTCTGTTTATTCGGTGAATTTAGATTAAACTTTGGAGTTTGTTGTTTTGAATTGTGGTTGATACACTTAGCTGGATTTTGATTTATAAGAGGGCAACAGCACAAGGACCTTAGAGTAAGCTGTTGGCAAAACTTATGGGATCTTGGGCTTCATTGAGACATTGAGGACAGAGGAGGGAAGTTGTGCTGAACCTTTTCTAAAGCTTTGGTTACAGTATTTTTTAACAGGTATTTTCTAATCAACCTGTTCAGAGATGTTATTGCACACCTGTGAAGCAGGTTGGACTTGAACCCAAACCTTCTAGCCCAGAAGTAGGGGTACTACCACCACACCGCAAGAGACCCTGGAGCTTTTATAAGATAGACCAGAAAAAAATCCCATTCACAATAATGCAAAGACTAGGAAAAACAGGTTTAAGATTTTGGGAGACGGAATATAAAGAGGAACATTTTTATACAGCGAATGGTTATGATCTTGAACTCACTCACCACAAGGCTGGTAGATTCAGAAACAATAGTTTCAAAAGAAAATTTGATGGGTACTTGAAGGGACTAAACTTGCAGGGATAAGAAACTGAGCAGGAGAGTTGGACTGACTGGATTGCTGCTATGGTTGAACTCCTCCTGTGACATAGAATCATTTATGACTAATATACGCTTTTTGTTTCATTTTGTTTATTGGCCACAGGCTATTACTACACAAAAGATTATAAAAATATTTTGAAAATTTACTTCTTCTACAACTCTGCTGAAAATAGTGATTTGAGCTTAGGAATATTTCCAATGCTGTTTAGCGTTAACTGGCCTTTTTGGCTTAAGTTGTAAAGAAAGACCTCACTTTATATGGTGTAGAGAATGCCAAATAAATTAAGACAAGTGAATGAGATTTAAGCCAATTCACTCTTAAGTGATTAATGGAATTTCTTTTTATAGGTTCCAAAAAGAAAAAAGCAACAAAACCTCTGAGCTTCAAAGTAGGAATTGGAAAAGTTATTCGAGGGGTAAGAGTACAGTTTACAGAGCTGTGTACTTTTATCTTTATCAAAATTGCATTTAAATTAGTTACCTAGTGTTCTGATAAATGGCAGTAACAGACCTCTACAAACTGACCATTTTTTTGCAAGCTGATTGACAATGGAGAACATTAAGTCTTAGATCCTGTAATAATGGCCAAACACACATATTTTACAGAATAATTCATGAAATGCAATGAGGAACTGGAACCTTGATTGTAATTTCCTGTCCTCAAGGCCAATGAGACCAAGTTAATCAAGCTAGCTGCATTTGAAATCTATCAACTCAATGATCAATTCTGTTACTAAACCCTTGTGGCTTCTTTGGATAATAACATTCACCAATATAGGCCTTTGCACAATTGGAAAGCTTGTTTTTAATTATTAATAACTTGTTTGCTGTGTTGCATTTATCATGTAATTTTTTTTTGTAGTGGGATGAAGCACTCTTGACCATGAGTAAAGGGGAAAAGGCCCAGCTACAGATTGAATCTGACTGGGGATATGGTAAGAAAGGAAAGCCAGAAGCCAAGTATCCTTTTATTATAGCTTGTTGAAAATAGTTTCCTCCCCCCCACCCCACCTTAAACTGCAGAAGAGAGGAGCTCAGCTAAGTTTAGCTGATAGAGCAGTGAAATTGAGAATATTTGTTCAGTCTTAGAGGAAGCTATTTCTATAGCAACAATTAGAGATTGTGCAGAGAACATAGCTGTGAATACATAATGGGAAATTAAACATGAACTCTTAATGTTTGCAGTATACTTTTTGCTAAACCATTAATAGCTTGTAGAAAGGATCATTTGAGTTTTTAGTAATAACTATTTTCTTTAACTGTAAAACAGAATTCCACCAAATGCTAAACTAATATTTGAAGTTGAGCTAGTGGACATTGAGTAACTTGAATGCAACACCTTGAGCTGAATGCTTCAAAACACTGCCTTTGAATTGGCCAATGTTGTTTTACTGAAAGTTCCTTCTTAATCTTGTTAAATAAAGTATGCAGCTTAAGAACAACTGTATTTGTATAGAACCTTATTGAATTGAGTGTTTAATGTGATTACATGAAAGGCAGCTTTTATTTGCTGATTTCATTAATTCTTGCACCTCAGAACTAGTTATGCTTTTATTAAGACAAGAATTGTTCACATTGCAAACAAAAATAAAATGTTTGAGCCACTGCAGGTTTTATGTTCATGAAATGTACTTCTGAATGTGTGGTGTTAAACTGAATTATGTTCTACTATTGTATATACACAAAGGCTTGCACCTGCTAATCTTTTGTGCATCATTTGAGCTGGTTTCACAAGTTGCTGAAAGTTCAAGCACTCCCCAGGATACCAACTTCTGGTGACGTCCAAGTAGTATGGATTAGTTTGCACTTCCTTTTAAGAGTTAGCAAGAGCTACTGGATAAATTTGTGGATAGGGAGAAACATGTGGGCAAAAACAAACGCTCACCATAGCACATATGTACTGAGACATTAACATTCAGCAAAGGCTGTTGAGAAAGGCACAAAATGCTCTAATTCTGATCTTTGTTGAAGATGGGTTGGGCCTAGAACCTGAAATGTCCTAAGTGTGACACTATTAAAAGAAACTAGATAATTTTGAATATTCTTTGTTCAATTCTGAATCTTAACTCAACAGGTTGATTAATCAAATGCTTTCTGCATACATCAGAGACTAGAATCACAGAATCCCTAGAGTGTAGAAACAGGCCCTTCAGCCCAAGTCCAAACCCATTCCCCCCATAACCCACCTAATTCTACACATCCCTGAACACTACAGGCAATTTAGCATGGCTAGTCCACCTAGCCTGCATTTCTTTGGACTGTGGGAAGAAACCAGAGCACCTGGAGGAAACCCACACAGAGACTGGGAGAATGTGCGAACTCCACACAGACAGATGCCTGAGGGTGGAATTGAATCTAGGTCCCTGGCTGTGAGGCAGCAGTGCTAACCACAGTGCCACTGTGCTATGTATTCTTAACAGGTTTATCAAAAATTTTTTTACTTCAAAGCCTAAAGCATGTTAATATTTATTACTACTTATGACTGTATTAGCACTTCAATGGAGGTGACTCATGAAAACTTAATTCCAAGATGTTGCATTAGTAGCCTAATGTAATGATGTCCAAGATTGCACTCAGGTATTTGTGCCTAAATTTACTAAATCAATATAGAATCTAGTAAATCGTGCAGCTAGAATTTAAATCCATACTTCACATGCAGAATGTATCAAGGAACAAATTTGAAAGTACATTGACAAGTGTTTTCAGTGGAATTCTTGTATATTTTAGTGAATCAAATATACAGTTATACTTCAGAACAGACCAAGACATTTGTTAAAAGTTGCTGGAAAGTTTTAGAAAAAAAAAAAAAATCACTTAAGGATCTGAATACCATAGAAGCCATTACTTCATTTGGCATAGTTCCAGCCAAGTTAGCCAGTCCATAAGCATGAGGCATAGATGTCAATTCAGTGAATCAAAGAGTTTCTGATGAAAAACATATTAGGAGTTTGAATTTGGTCCCTTCCTCTTTCCAAAGCATGGCACAACATTTACAAAACGGCGATTGTACTGCATGCGCCTCTTTGCTCGGCCAGTCTTCTTTTTCCTCTTCTCTTGTTTTGCAACCTATGCAAAGAATAGTTAGTGCAAATTCAAAATATTAGTACAAAACATGCACTTGGAACCAAGTATGTAAAATGCAGGATTGGAGGTTTATGCCCTTTTTCAAATAAAGGATGTAGAGGTCAAGATGTAAAAGAACAGGAAATAAATATATCCAGTCATAAAAGTAGCAAAAAAAAAACATGCTGGGAAATTAAATGGAGCTAGACACTGACATTGAAGGAAACAGCTACAGAGTGGATACATTGTTAGTAATCTTCATTCTATAAAAATCCCAGAAGATCAGGAAAACATTTCAATAAAGCAACAGAGATAAACCACAGGCCAGTTAGATTAACATCTGTTACTGGGAAACAATTTGTTATAACAATGTATTAAAGCATTCAAAAGTGCTTAAGATCAGTCAGCATGAATACAGGATCAGCTAACTAATAGAAGGTTGAGAAAGGGCACATTTTCAGGCTGGCAACCTCCTAATGGTGTGCTGTAGGGATCAGTGCTGGGCCACAAATATTTACAGTATATTAATGACTTGGGTGAAGAAAGTGAATGTACTGCAGTGCTTGAGGGGCAAGATGATTCAGATCTCCACCTTATAGTTACTAGCAAAATTGGTGATGATATTCAATATGATCTATGTACACATTTTAGATATACACAAAGCTACAGCAAAACCTTTAATATTTTTGTTGCAGGCACACAGTCAAAAAAAAAAAAAAAAAACTTACCTTAGGAGTTTGACCTTTTACTTTTCCAGCTCGAGCAAGGGATCCATGGACCTTACCTAAAAAGAAGAAAAAAAAGTTTAAAGTATATTTCAAGAGAATTTTCAGACAAAGCTTTACCAATATATGTTCTTATGATGATAAATCTCAAAGAAACAGACTTGTAACAGCTCCTGGATCACCTGGAAGCTGGTGTGCAAACATCCATATGCTTACTGGCAATTACCATAGGGAAGTTGGCAAATATCGACATGATACTACTAGACAGCTCCTTCACTTCAACAACTCAAATCATTATATATTAAAAAAAGTGTTGCTTTGCTGCTAAAGTATACAGTTCCATACTTGGGGCTCTTGTGGGACAGTGCTTAGTGTCTCTGGACCAGGAGGCACAGGTTCAAGTCCTACCTGCTCCAGCTGTCTGACAACACCTCTGAACAGGTTGATGAGAAACTAATTCTGTGCTGCATTCAAGGAGAGAAGCTGCACCTGTGGCAGTGGCAAAGCTGTGTGTTCTAAGCAAAAGGCTACCACCATCTTAGAGGTGGTCAGAAAAAGAGTAAGGATGTGTGGTACGTGCCAAAGTCAAATTTCTCAACCATTCCATGATCTGCAACAAAATTAAGGAAGGCTATTGAAAGTGACAACAGTGAGAAGAGAATAGAGAGTTTGAGTTTAATTTTGGTTACAATGCAGCAAGTGATTCTTCAGTATCTTACCTGAAGTAAACTTTGCTTCTACAAAATGCAGCCTAATCTTTATACACTGAAGAGAAATTCTTGACAATTATACAAAGAAATAGTTGGTTATGCTGACACATTATTTGCAGCAATATCATCAAATTAGGCCAGTAAGGTCAATTGAAGTGACTGCTGCTAATACTGTAAATGTGATATTTTAGTATAGTAAAAAGGGAAATTCAAGTCACTACAATACATACCACCCAACAATCGAGCAACTACTTCAAGAGTGCAGTGCTCACTAATACCACATTGGTTTATGACAGCATCATCATCCAAGGGAGTGCCAGCCAAGAGGATCACTTGGTCAACAGCAGAGACTCC